TACTTTTATCTCCAGTGAAACTGTTTTTCAGATCTTTATTTCTTATTTAACAAGAATTTCCTTATTGCTATTTTATGTTAAAAATTCTTACACTGTTTAAATGTGCTACTAAATAGATGGGTTTGTTGCCTTTTTTTTTTTTAAAACTCCTCTTGGGATATTTTTCCTTCTACCGCAGAGGAGGAGAGCTGATTCTAAAGAGGCCTACGAATCCAGTAAATAATGTAAAAAAATCACTTTTCACATTACCAGCCTCTTAAATTTCCTCATCGTGGTGACACGCATTGTTTCAAGACAAAAGTGTTACGCTCTCATTTTTTAAAGAAAAAAACTACAGAATCATCCTTTAGTGTCACTGGATTTTCTTTTCCAAGTATTTCTATCCATTTTGTTCTGGCTACATGTTTTCCAGTAGGCTGTTTCCTTTATTTAAAAAGGTGTTGTATCTCTGGGACAAAGCTTCTATAATTCCCTTATGACTCACTTGTGACCCCAGAAGAACAAAACCCAGCGTATAACTTACTACAAAGGACTTGTGGTTTCACAATTTCCTCCATTTAAACACACACTGCTTTTGCCATCATTAATACTGTGGTAAATAGTAATCAATTGATATTTAAATACTTTTTAAAGGTCAGTTTCCAGGCTGAAATAAATGTATAAAATATGGGAAATGTAATAAATCCTCTAAGGAAAAAGCATGTTTGATTGGCTCACCTGTGTTACAATAGAGTCTGTATATCCCTAACTCCTCCATGAATTATCTAATTCTTTTTTTAACCCAGTTAGTTATCCTTTTGGCCTTCACAATATCCCCAGGCATTGAGGTTGACTCTGCATTGTGTGAAGAAGTACTTCCTTATGTTTGTTTTTAAACCTTCTGCCTATTAATGTCATTGGGTGACCCCTGGTGTTTGGTGTTAAAGGGGCAAATGACCCCTTCCTTTTAATTTTCTCTACACCGTTCATGATTTTATAGATCGCTATCATTTCACCCCCCTTAGTAGTTTCTTTTCTAAGCTGAACAGTCCTAGTCTCTAATATCTCCTTGTCTGGAAGCTGTTCTATATTCCTAATCGTTTTTGTTGCCCTTCTGTGCACATTCTCCACTAATATATCTTTTCTGAGATGGGGCAACCAGAACTGCATGCAGTATTCAAGGTATGGGCATAACATGGGGTTTATATAGTGGCATTATGATATTTTCTGTTTTATTATCTATCCCTTTCCTAATGGTTCCTAACATTGTTAGCTTTTTTGACTGATTCTGCACATTGAATGGATGTTTTCAGAGGATTGTTCACAATGACTCCAAGATCTTTCTTGAGGGATAACAGCTAATTTAGACCCCATCATATTGTATGTATAGTTGGGATTATGCTTTCCAATGTGCATTAGTTTGTCTTTATCAGCATTGAATTTCATCTGCCATTTTGTTGCCTAGTTGTGTGAGATACCTTTTGTAGCTCTTCACTTAACTTTGGACTTAACTATCTTGAGTAATTTTATATTGTCAGCAAATTTTGTCACTTTACTGTTCACTCCCTTGTCCAGATCATTTATGAACAGGTTGTACAACATGTGTCCCAGTATAGATCCTTGGGGGACCCTGCTATTTACCTCTTTTCATCGTGAAAACTGATCATTTAGACCTACCCTTTGTTTCCTGTCTTTTAACCAGTTACTGATCAATGAGAGGACCTTCCCTCATATCCATGACTGCATAATTTGCTTGTCAACAGCTTTCTGAAAGTCTAAGTACTCTATATCAACTGGATCACTGTTGTCCACATTTTTATCAACACAAAGAATTCTAGTAAATCAGTGAGGCATGATTTCCCTTTACAAAAGCTGTGTTGACTCTTCCACAATATATCGTGTTTATCTATGTATCTCTGATGATTTTGTTTACTATAGTTTGAGCAAATTTGCGTGGTACTGAATTTAGGCTTACCAGCCTGTAATTGCCAGAATTGTTGCTGGAGCCGTTTTTAAAAATAGGCACTATATTAGTTATTCTCCAGTCATCTGGTAGAGAGGCTGATTTAAGCTATAGGTTACATACCAATTTCATATTTGAATTTCTTCAGAACTCTTGGGTGAATACCATCTGGTCCTAGTGACTTATTACGGTTTAATTTATTGACTTGCTCTAAAGCCTCCTCTATTGACACCTCAATATGGGACTGTTCCTCAGATCTGTCACTCAGGTGTGGAAATCTCCCTCATATCCTCTTCAGTGCAATGTAAATAATCAATTTAGCTTCTTCACAGTGGCCTTGTCTTCCTTGAGTGCTACTTTAACACCTTGATCGCCCAGTGACCCCACTGACTCTTCGGCAGATTTCCTGCTTCTGATGCACTTGAAAAAAAAATGCTGTTAGTGTTTTTGTCCTTAGCTAATTGCTCTTCAAATTCTTTTTTGGCCTGCCTGATTGTACATTTACACGTGACTTGCCAGAGTTTATGCTCCTTTCTATTTTTCTCACTAGGATTTGACTTCCAATTTTTAAAGGATGCCTTTTTGCCTCTAACCACCTTTTACTCTGCTATTTAGTCATGATGTTGTTTTTTGGTTGTCTTATTAATTATTTTTTATTTGGGATATACTTTGTTTTATCCTCTATTATGGTGTTGATTGAGAACAACTGCAAAACCACTGCCTAACTTCTTTCATGTATGGTTTTGCATGCCACTGCAGGGACTTACAGCTTTACTTAAAGTAGCTGCAGGAGTGTTGTATTTTTGCATAGCTGCAGAAGAACATGCATCCACTTTGCACTGTTTTCCTTGCTGAAGGAGAAAGATCAAGGCTGTCAGGTGCCCACAGTCTAATGTCCAGCAGAATGTATCTGCCAATTGTTTTTAACAGGGAAGTCCTGTTAGACTTGCCAAAAGAGGCATTAAAAAACCAAAAACATCCAGATTAAAAAAAATTTAAAAAAACAAAACCCCAAAATATTTGACTGTTAAAATTATTGCAGAATCTCCCTCTTTATATGCATTTCTCCTGTTTTTCTATCATATTACCTTTTATAAGCCCCATTTACTGATAACTGCCAGCATAGACTCTTTCACTATATGGGAGGTAAGAAAGTTCTCTAGCTCCCTGTCCTTACTACTCTTTTGTGGATCAGCCAGCTGACAAAGATGTAAAGACAGCAGCCTCTTGTTAAATTAGTTTCTCTCCTTACAGGAAAGTTTCTTGCTCCCACTGACTGCAAAATTAGAGATGCTCAAAGAGGTTTCTTGTATGACTAAAATGTTGATGATTTGGTTCAAGTATTCAGGAAACCCATTTACACAGGTACAGAGTGTTTTGGATGACTGCTTGTATGTTTGTCTAACTTGAGTTTGCCTCTTTTTTTTTTTCCCCTTGAGTAATTTCTTCAGTTCTTTTTGCAGTGTGCCTTAAAAATAACCTCTTATCCAGAGTGCAAAACAGGAATGCAGACTGTGTTTCACATCCTGTTCTTTAGAATGCCTTTCACACACTTATGCATTCCTGTTCCTTTATTGGGATCTGGGTAAGAGGTTGACTTTAATTTTCACACATGCGCAAAAAATATACTTTCCTGATACCAGACATGTATAGATAATCTTGTTTCCCTGACTTTGAAAATCAAAACCTATCAATGCTATTAGGAAAGTTCATTCCAGGATAGTGTTTAACCTTTATTATCTTAAACTTTATGTAGTACATAAAAACAGGAATGAAAACAGTACATAGACACAGAAAATCAATAACTGTATAATAAGGTGGGAGTGTTTGGGGTATGAAGTGCAACCCTTGAGGTTTGGTGTAAACATTCACCAAGTGCAAGAAGGCCACAGCTGGATTATGAAATTCTGGTTTTGTTGCTTGTAGGACAAACATTTCTTTAACAGCATTGTCAATTCTGTAACTTCTAATATTACATAGGTTTTCCTCCTTGGTCTCCCAGTCAGTGATAGCATAGGTGTCAACTAAAAAAAGGCGATGTTTGTGGCTTTCCTCTTTTTTGTGCCCCCTTCTTTGTATTTGTCTTGCATGTGTCCCCTGGAATTCCTGATATCCTTTTATACACCATCTGTGGCTTTCAGTGTCTCCTTATTCCCCTTCATGTTCCCACTATACCACTTGTCCATTCATATTTCCACTATCCTCTTGTCACCTATCAGTTACCCATCATCTCTCTCCCCCAACCCTCCCAAAAAAACCCTGCTGCTTGGGCTTCCACTCAAGTCTGCTTTTGTGCCCTGAGACTGCTACCAACTAAGCATCGTGGAGGAGGAGTAGCTAGAGGGTACAAGAATAGGGGACTGTAGTCTCCAGCCACCCTCTTCTCTACTCACACAGCAACTTAGTGGCAGAAATCAGCTTCTAGAAACTTGGGCTTCATCAGTCACAATCCCTGAGGCTTTGGCTGGAAATGAAAACATTAAGGAAGCAGAGCTGCCATGTTTCTCTTATCTCGTGTGCTACTTATATGTTTGATAGCCCTGTCATGTGTTCAGCAGGTTCCTCTTGCATCCAGCTAGAGTGTAAGGTTGCCAACTGTCTAATCACAAACCCAGACACCCCTGCCATGCCCCTTCCCTGAGGCCCTGCCCCAGCCACGCCCTTCTCCGAGGCCCTGTCCTGCTCACTCCACCCTCTCCATCCATCGCTCGCTCTCTCTCACCCACTTCACCTGGCTGGGGCAGGGAGTTGGGGTGTGGGAGGGGGTGCTGGCTCTGGGCTGGGGACAAGGGGTTCAGAGTGTGGGAGGGGGCTCCAGGCTGTGCCTGGGACGGGGTGGGGGTGCAAGCTCTGGGAGGGAGTTTGGGTGCTAGAGGGGACTCAGGACTGGGGGAGGGGTTTAGGGTGCAGGAGGGGGCGTGGAGTGTGGGCTCCAGGAGGGGGCTCAGGGCTGGGGCAGAGGGTTGGGGTGCAGGAGGGGGTGTAAGGTCTGGGAAGGAATTTGGGTGCAGGAGGGGGCTCGGGGTTGGGGTGCAGGCTCTGGCCATGTGGTGCTTACCTCATGCCGCTCCTGGAAGCAGCCAGCATGTCCCTGCGGCCCCTGGGCGGGCCGGGGGCTCCGCACGCACCTCAATTTAGGCAGGCAGGGTCCCTCTCTGCCTCCCCTTTCTTCTCCCCCTGCTGGTGCACCAGGCCAACATGGAGGCAAAACATCAAATTGTGCATGTCCCTAGTAGTCAAGAGTTGGGAAGAAGGAAAGGTGATATTGCATTAGAGCAGCCAGAGACAGATTCTGTGAAATTCTGTGGTTTTTTTCGGTGTTTCTTTCAGGATGTGTCATTTGTGTGGTGATATCAAATGCCATAAAACAACATTGCCACCGAGTTGTCACACATCATCAGGAAGTTGTAATAGTTATTTTGTTGTAACTTCTGATTGCTTCTAAAATAGATATTCAGTTCTTCAAGGTAGAGTACTGCTTTAATTACTAACACTTTATTAGATAAAACAGAATAGTTAACAGTATACATTTATTTTCTTGTATAAAGACACAGCAAGTTCTTTATAAACAAAAAATAGTTAAACTAATACACACTGTCTTATTTTTAACAGAATATCTCCGAGCATGTAGACTGTTTCTTTTAATCAAAATACAGTACCAATGGGTTAGACTATGTTTTAAACTAATCTCTTTCCAAACTTCACTTTTCAGATTGAAGACAAAACATTTTGTTCCCTGCTTGATACATTATATGGGAAGTTTTGGAGCAGGACAATTTTTATTTATTATTTATTTATTTATTTTTGGCAGAGTGATATTTGGTGATTTTATTGACTTGTATTATAGTAACCCAGAAGCCTCAGTCAGGTTTTGAGCTACAAAAGTAGTCTCCAGAATGTGGGTGACTGAGCTATCAGGAAGAAACATGAAGTCATCCTGTTTGGGCCTCAGTGACAGGAAGAGGAGCATTGGCACAGGAAGACTGATAGGTTTTGTTATGTCTCATTTCCCATAGAACTAAGTTCTCCTTAGTTCCATTACCTCTTATGGAAATTTTGTGAGTAAATGCAGTGTGTGTTTTCCATAGCAAATTAAGGTCCAATCCTGTTTCCATTAAAGTCCCGAGAGGAATGCTACCCATTGACATCAGTGAGAGCAGGATTAGGCCCTAAAACTATGTATCTAGAATGGTTGTTACATGGTCAAAAAGTCTTGTCTCTTAGTTGAACCCCCATATTCAAATACAACATCATGCTTTGGGCAGACTAGTAATACACTTACTGTACCATGAAGGTGATGTTCAGGAAAAAAAGGCTTCTGAGTAGAAATAAACTGAATATAGAACTCTGCAACAAGAACTAGAATAACTTGACTAAGTATGTGGTCAGTTAATGCTGTGATATCACCGTTATGATTTAAGTTGACTTGTTCAGTTCATTGCTGAAAGCTGGATTTCTGGGTGTATCAGTATAGAGAATTTTTTTAATTAGTCTTCCATTTTTGAAGTGGGGTTTGGGATATATATGTATATTCAAAGAGGTATTTTTTGCTTTTAGAGTTCTTAAAATACTTCTGTTCACTCCATATGATGAAAATGGCAGGTATTACTGGCAAAGAAAATGCTGCCATTAATATTTTTGTATAACTTGCAATTAGGCAACAAATCAGAGCATTTAATGTTTTCCTGTCTTAGAATGTTTTTATAGTAAAAGCTGTGTTATCTGGCATTTTACCAACCTGAAAGCTCTGTAAACCGGCATTTCTGATCTTCATTGAAAGTCTTGTTTATAGTCCGGCTGGTGGCAGGCTCCCTACCTGGCTCCACATGGCTCCCCGGAAGCTGTGACATGTCCCCGCTGCTCCTAAGTGGAGGAACAGCCACAAGGGGTTCAGAGTTTGGAAGGTGGTGTGGGGGTGACCTAGAGAAATTGGAGGATTGGGCTAAAAGAAATCTGAGGTTCAATATGGACAAGTGCAGAGTCCTGCACTTAGGACGGAAGAATCCCATGCACTGCTGCAGGCTGGCGGTTCTTAAGAAAAGGACGTGGGGATTACAGAGGATGAGAAGCTGGATATGAGTCAACAGTGTGCCCTTGTTGCCAAGAAGGCTAATGGCATATTGGGCTGCATTAGTAGGAGCATTGCCCGCAGATCGAGGGAAGTGATTATTCCCCTCTATTCGGCACTGGTGAGGCCACATCTGGAGTATTGTGTCCAGTTTTGGGCCCCCACTATAGAAAGGATGTGGACAAATAGGACAGAGTCCAGCAGAGGGCAACGAAAACTATTAGGGGACTGGGGCCCATGTCTTATGAGGAGAGGCTGAGGGGACTGGGCTTATTTAGTCTCCAGAAGAGAAGAGTGAGGGGGGGATTTGATAGCAGCCTTCAACTACCTGAAAGGGGGTTCCAAAGAGGATGGTGCTAGGCTGTTCTCTGATGAACTCAGTGTAACTTGTGCTTTTGAAAATTCCACCTTTAAGTGCCTAAATATGGGCCTGAGAGACTAATTTTAGGCTGATAGTTTTGATAGTTTTTGGCCTGTGTACAAAATAGTTTACAGTAACTTAATGTATTGAAAGTATAAACTTCTTAACAGTGAAGCAATTTTGTTTTGAAGTGGCAAAGATTTTGTACACAAATATTAAAAACTTTTAGCCTCTGGTGCTGCAAATACTTATGCACATGCTTAACTAAGTAGATGAGTAGTACCACTGAAGTCAAATTTGAGTAAAGTTACATGCTGGTTTTAGTCCTTGTCCTACAAACCCTTAATCGTCTGTGTTTCTTTTTTTTTTTTGCCTGTAGCTGCTTTGTAAAATTCAAATAAGATACCTTAACTGTAGTAGATTTTATACTAAAATAAACTAACTAAAAAAAGCATTTGTAATTTTGTTCATTAGATTAAAATTTATAGTTGCAATAGCACAGATTTTCAAATTAGCTTGACAAAGGCCCCATCTGATCTGATATAAATATTTTAAATCAGTGACTTAAATAGCCTTGATTTAAATCTCGCCATCTTGCTTTATTCTCTGGAAACTTTCTCCGAACAACACTCTGAATTCATTGAACAGGGGATATAAGTGTAGGCTTTACAGTTTTACACCAGTGAGAATTAGGGGTTTGTATTAAAATCCTAGTAGTAAACTACTAATTGAGCTCTTGTATGATTTCATATTACAGGGCCTTGAGACCATAAGAGAATCAAATAAAGTGGAAGCAGGAAATTACTCCATAAAGTTTAATTGGAAAAGGTATTTCAAAATGAATTTCCACTATAAAGTATTTCATTGAAAAACATATTTTTCAAAGTAGATTTCCTCTAATCCCCAATTTAAAACTTCTTGTACATTTTCAGAAAGTACAAGGAGTAAATTTACTAAGGGATTTGTTTTCTAGTTTCCAAAGTCTTGAAATTTCCCTGCTGGCTAATTACTGCTTATTACTGTAGACATTGAGCTGTTAGCAGTAACATTTTCCATCTTAAGATGGGCTGGCCCATTCAAGTGAAGAGCATGTTGTCTGAGTGCTGAATGGAATTACTACCAATGGAAACTATGCTGCAAGAGGAGTTGATAAAGCAGCTGCTGTGCAAACCTCAGCTGTTTTTTCCATCTTCCAAAGCAAAGTTAATTAGCATAGGAAAGCTGACTAATGTGCTGATGTCACCTCTTTCCAGTAGTCGCTTACATTTTGTCCCTGACTGCCTTAAAGCATGCAGGACTTTGTTCAGGAATTTGCTGTCACTTACGGGATGCACTGAACGCTTTTTTGAGGGGGTTGGACTTTTTCCTTTATAAACACAGTCTACAGAACCAACAGCTTCCTTAAAAGTAATTGCCTTGGATTTGTGTTGAACTGCTATCGTTGCTTTAGTGAAGCACAAAATGCATTTTAGGAACCTTAACTACAGTTTTGGTTCCCTAATTGCCTGTGTGGCAGACAGCGATGTCTTCAATCAAATTGAAACGAGGGTATGGCTTTTTTAAAGTTGAGTTTTAGATCTGTGAATTTCTTAAATACTGAAGGATAGGTGCTGTTCTAAAATAGTTGAAAAATACTGTGCTGTTTAAAACATTAAACAGATAATGCTTAAGAAGTAGGGAAGAACTATTTCAGAGGTTAACAGGTTGTAGTCTGCAAATGTGTATTTTGTGTATTATGTTTCAGTCTTAATGTATCATATGGACTTTAAGATATTTATCTTCTGCTTTTTCAAATACTTGTTGTCTGTCCATAAAAACTCTGTGTATATATGCATGTAAGTGTGAATATGAGTTGAAAAAACTTCATTTGAAGGCATTTTCAATGATGTTCAGATTTAGAATGTTGCTAATAGGTTTGTTTATATTAGAATATATGAAGATGTTTAAATTTACATTGTTGGTGTAGCACTGTAATTGTTAAGACTGGTGACACTTCTGTAGTGTTGGAATGCTACGTAATATAATCACTCCAGCTATCTAATTGATGAGAATGAAGGAGTAACAAACACACAAATGTTGGACTTACAGTAGTGAATTATTGATTAGCAGTGCTAAGACATCTGTCAGGCACAAAACAATTGGATTTTATTAGTAGACACTATGATGCTAACATCTGATTTCATCTGGAAGTTTGATCCATGAGGCGAGTATTTTATAATAGTACAGACTTTTCTTTTTAGCTAACATAAAATTGAAGATTCCATACATTTCATTAATCATCTAGATGGTCTCCAAAGGTTTAGTGGTGAATATGAATTCTGAATTATAGACCAATCTGTTTTTCTGAATAGGTATGAATGAGATATTGGTGCACCAAGTAGTGTAATATAGAAAAAAGATAAAAAAAGGCTTAGATTTCAGAAATACAAAGCCGCTTTCTTTCCCGTGTAAAAAGCTAACAATAAATTCCTGTGCTAAGGGTTCTATTCTTGAGAATTGTATTAAAACTACTTGGAGTTTACATACAGCTAGCTTTTATTAGAACACTAAGAGACAGGATAGTTTTGAGTTAACATGCATACATGAAATATTTGGCTTTTGTCTAATATATATTTGTTACTTAGAGTCTTGGGATAGCAGTAGCAAGTTGTTGTGAGTTAGAACCACGCTTAGCTTAAATAAAAACTATAACCAAAGGTTTATATAAGAGAATAAGGAAATTAAGTGTTCAAGAAAAAAATATTACGCTATTTTGTTATACCCTTCTATGTAGCCTTATCCAAAAATCAGTGATTAAACTGAATGCAGTTGAAAGATGAACATGAAGTCAGAACATTCTGATCAGTAAGATTCTGTGAAATAGTAACATACAAAATGTCAATACATAAAACATAACTTACTACTGAGGGTTGTACATAGCGAGTCATTGTGCTTAAAATAAGTCTGAAACAGCAAGTATGCCAGCCATACACTCATTTTTCCCTTCCCCTCCCCTCAGCACCCTGAAGTAAAAATGGAAACATTCTTCATAAATAATGTGTAAATAGCTGAGTTTGGTTTGGATAGCTGCCCCATGTGCTCTAAAAGCTCAAACATTAGTTACTCAAATCATCAATGAAGACTGCCAACTTTTGATGGACTTAGTTTCATACTGCCATCTAGATAGGATGGCTAAGTCATTGGGCCACACCGATAAAAGTACAAGGTTTTGGAGTCAGAAGGGCTGGGTTCTGTTCCCACTCTGCAACAAATGTACTGTTTTAACCTTGTGCAAGGCCCTCACCTCTGTTTCCATGTCTGTGTAATTAGAACAATACTTTCTTTACTAAGGGAATTGCGTCTTCGTTTGTAAAGTTCTTTGAGATCCATAGATGGAGGGTGTTATAGAATTACTGTGTGTCATTATTTGAAATATATGAAATTTCCTTAAGCACACTTCATTTCCCTAAATTAAAAATAAGTACAAAAAATAGTTTTCATATGTCATAACATTACTGAGGTGTCTGGTTACCTTAAAAACAAGCACATTTTAGTACAGCACACTATTCAGTTTTCATGTCTACCGTTTTCATGTCCTTCATGTTTACTTGAGTAAGGACTTTTGGCCCTCAATTTACTTTGCCTGCTTTTTATAGATATTTCTATATAAACTAAACTAAGCAATTAAAACTCCATGATCTTCATCACTTGTGAATAGTACTTTTTTTAGCATGCCACAAGATTGAGACAGAAGCCAGTAGGCATGCAATATATTTTACTTATTTGTAATCTTTTCTTCTACCTTGAAGGCATTATTATTTCAGCAAGAAAAAAGCAGCTGCTATGTTGTAAATAAATGATGATTGGTTTATTTTGAATGGCTTACCATATTCTCTAATAAAATATTTTAGCATGCCACTGTTAACTGCAGTCCATCATAATCAGCAGTTGTCCTTGAGGGAAAGAGAATAAATTACAAGAAAAAAGGGATGTGGCATGTACATGGCTTCTTTTGTTTTTAAAAATATATAATTTTTTTTTACAGGCCAAATTTGAATCTCTCTTTAGAACATATGACAAAGATATCACCTTTCAGTATTTTAAGAGCTTCAAAAGAGTACGAATAAACTTCAGCAACCCTTTATCAGCCGCAGATGCTAGAATCCAGTTACATAAGACAGAATTTCTTGGAAAGGAAATAAAACTGTATTTTGCTCAGGTATGTTTTACCAAGCATTTCTGTATAAATGTAATCGTTTTGCCATTGAGTCTTATGCTGTTGTAGTTGACAGTTTTTTTTTTTTTAAAGACCTGTGAAAATTTGTAGCATTCATTTGTGACTAAATTGATTGGAGAAAACATCAGGTAGGTACCTCCAAACTTAGGAGTGTTTGGAGGCTAATGAATATGTTGGGTTTCTGGCTGCTTGTGTATTGTTTGCCCTGTCTTGGTATAAGGGGGAGACATCTAGTACTCACTGTCATACCAAGAGCTGGTTGGGTAAACAGGGGGAGGAGTATATTTTGTAAAATTTCAAACAACTTTTGGGAATATTCAGAACACTTGATTTTATTGAATATAAAAACCATCTTCTCTCACTACTTTAATTTTTTTCCACTGATAGAGGGGAGTGTTCCTCTCTTCCTAGCTTCTTCTTTTTCATAATGTTCTGAAATTTTTCATCAGTTTCAATCAAAATGAAATATTGTTGCAAAAACTTCCATTTTATTGCAAATACCTTTTCTGTTGAAGAAATTTTGACAATTTTCAGCCAGCTTTAATTGAAAATCTAGTAACCCCAGAACTCCTAATGAGATACTTAAAGATATCCAGGGTCATAAAACAAAGATGGTTTTAAAAAACAAAATAACTGTAAGATTTCACTTGTGGAGGGGAGGGGGGAGACTGAAAGCATGTCTGCTCTTTGCCAAATTGTTAGCAACACTCCCTAGATATTCTGCATCTCTACAGTACAACTATAGAAGATTCTGCAGCAGTTTCAGATACATTTATTCACTGGAATGGAAGGCTTTATTGAATTAAATCCCAATAACTAGTACAGTAAAAGCTGTATTATCTGGCCCTGTACTAACTGGAAAGCTCTATAAACTGGCTTTTCTGATCTTGATATAAAGTCTGGTTTATAGTCCGGTTGGTGTGGGGCCAGCAGGCTCCCTACCTGGCTCTGCATGGCTCCCCAGAAGCAGCGACATGTCCCTGCTGCTCCTAGGCGGAGAACGGCCACAAGGGGTTCGGAGTACAGGAGGGGGTGTGAGAGTGGGGGATGGGGCACAGGAGGGGGTGCAGGCATGGGCTCTGGGAGGGAGTTTGTGTGCAGGATCCGGGGGGGTGCTTACCTTGGGAGGCTGCTCACAAGCAGTGACTTGTCCTGGTTACTCCTAGGTGGAGACCCATCAGATGGCTCTTCGCGCTGCCTCTGCCCTGCCCACTGACTCAACAGCTCCCATTGGCTGGGAACCAATGGGAACCCTCACCCAAACTCTCTTTCTTAACTGGCATTTTTCACTTGCCAGCACCCCCCATTACCCCAACATGCCAGATTTAAAAAGTTTTTACTGTACTAGTATTGTGTCCCTTGTGGTAATAAGTTAAGTTTAGTTTGAGGTGTTTAATATATATGTTTATTTTTTAAGATGCTATACGGATTTGTACTGACAACATAGTTAGCAGCTTGAGTAGTGACAGTTATAGCTTTGGGACCTGGGGAAAGGTGTGGGAATTATGTTGGATAAATGCGTTAGCTGGAGATTTCTGCCAAAATGATAAGCAACTAAATAGAGAGACAAGGTGGATGAAGTAATATCTTTTACTGGCCCAAAACTTTCGAGCCATGGCTTATTACAACGATCTGTAACCAACTAAATCCTCTTTTCGTCCTATGACTGCAAAGGACTGTTAGTGGGCCACTCTACCTTGAATGGTCCCTTGGAATAGAATATGTGCTAACAACCTATACTAAACAATCAGTTCCACCTTGCATTTAGCTGTGGTACTTGGAGTACCTTTCCCAGACCTGAAGAAGAGCTCTGTATGGCTTGAAAGCTTGTCTCTCTCACCAACATAAGTTGGTCCATAAAAGATATTACCCCACCCACCTTAACTTTAATATCCTGGGACCCAACTACACTACATAAAGTAACTAAATAGTAAATGATATTGGGGAATTATTTTGTAATATTAGATAAGGTAATCATTTGATCAGTTAACTCCCCTTTGAGATGACCAATTATTTTGGCTATGCACAAACTCTTACACTTACTTACCCGCATAGTTTACACTTGGTTAATGTTTGATGCTCTCTGCAATCGTAACAGTTAGAAATGTAGTTTTTCTTCAATCAAAGCTTACATTCTTGAGCACAGTTCTTATAGCATGAAGTGGGTTCTCAGCAAACCTGATGCCTGTGGAGTCGCAAAGAAAACACTGCTCTAATTGTTATACAGAGATGCAAATAACACTGGCTTGAAAGTTTGATCTTTTCCAGCCTCAAAAATAGCCCTTGATTCGGCAAACAGGGTTGGCCTGTGGAGCTGCATTGGCAGTGATTCCTAAATATAGACAAGGGTGTGCAGGGGTCTGTACCAGTATATAGAGCTATACTGATTTCTGGTCAATACTTTCTGTGACAAAGTTCCTGCTCTACCTTAGTGGGTCTTGTGCTTATTGGCGGATTTGCTCGCCTTGGAACTTCACGGCAGCACTCAGCTTGGCCGTTTTTCTGAACCCACAGTGCAGGTAGACTCCTCCTGTGTCTGACCAGGAGTTGGGAGGATTTGGGGGGAACCCGGGCCTGCCCTCTACTCCGGGTTCCAGCCCAGGGCCTTGTGGAATGCAGCTGTCTAGACGCCTCCTGGAACAGCTGTGCGACAGCTACAATTCCCTGGGCTACTTCCCCGTGGCCTCCTCCCAACACCTTCTTTATCCTCACCATAGGACCTTCCTCCTGGTGTCTGATGATGCTTGTACACCTCAGTCCTCCAACAGTCTGCGTTCTCACTCTCAGCTCCTAGTGCCTCTTGCTCTCAACTCCTCGCACGCACACCACAAACTGAAGTGAGCTCCTTTTTAAAACCCAGGTGCCCTGATTAGCCTGCCTTAATTGATTCTAGCAGCTTCTTGATTGGCTGCAGGTGTTCTAATCAGCCTGTCTTACTTGTCTCCAGAAGGTTCCTGATTGTTCTGGAACCTTCCCTGCTCCCTTACTTAGGGAAAAGGGACCTCCTTCGCTTGCTGCTTAGCTGTCTGCTTTCTATGCTCTCCTAAAGCCCCCTGGCCTGGATTTTTCTTACTTTTTGACCCTGCCTTAGTTCCCTCCCGACCGGGCCAGACGCTTTTTCTTCGTTTTGTTTTTTTTGCTGGTTTTTTTTTTGCTGCCGTTCGAGTGCTGGTCAGTTGCCAGCTTGCTGCCAGCCCCCCCCCCCCCCCCCACGCCTGCTCTCGGACGCTGCTTTTGCCCCAGCTGAAATCCCCGGAGGAGGGGGGGAGGACTGCCGACCCGCTACCCGGAGGAGGGGAGTGGAAGCCCCCAGATCCAGCCGTTTTGCTGTTATTTCTAAACCCGTACCGAGCTAGGAAGATTCTCCTTATCTCTGCAACATTCTTGGCCTGCTGAAAGCCTCGTCACAAAACCGGAAGAGAAGATAGCCGACAGAAAAAATCACCCAGGGAAGCTACGAACCATCGTGGAGGGGGCCGTAAGACTGAGTAACTTTTGAATTGTACTCTCGTGTGGGGAGAGTTTGACTGTGTTTTAATTGCGTTTGTGGGGGCACAGGGGGTGTGGCACAGAGCTGCCCCCCGATCCATCGGTTCCCCCCCCAACACTACTACGACCGACATGGCCCCCCTGCCATCCGTCCCTGCTGGCAACTTGCCATCTGCCTTTGGATTCAGCTGTTTGCTTTGAATTTTGCCGCTCAGACCAAACACAACAGCCGACCAAACGAGACTCTTTGGACAAACGTGCGTGGGTCCATGTCCCCCCCCCCCGCCCCGGACTGTTTACCCCACAGATTGCCCCTATTACTGGACCCCAACTCCTGTTTTCCTCCCCCATCCAGTCCGACCCATTTGGCACCCCCGCCCCCCTGCCTGCAGCCCAGCAGGGAGGAGTGGTTAATCTGCTTCCCCCTCCCCCCTCCTCCTTCTGGTGTCTCCCCGTCTCTCCCTGCTCACAATGGCGGGGAATGAGCGGGGTGAGGCCCCTCTAACAACCTCAGTTGCCTCTCCCCCACCTACCCCCCAGCCCTCCCCCCCACCACTGCTGTCAAAACATCTGCCACCGCCCCCGCTGGGGCAGCAGGAGGCACCCGGGCGATTACTGCCGCTGCAACGTCCGCCCCCCCTCCCCCCAGATTCTAGGAACCCCCCCCCAGTTGGCCAGAAAGGCCAGGGTGTGAAGAAAGGAAAGGGCCCCGCTAAAACCACCAGGCCCTCCATGGCAGGGGCTGCCCCCACCGCTGTGGCCTCGTCATCGACCATGGCATCCCTCCCTGCTGTTCCCTCCACCAGCTCTGCGAGCATTCCTCCCCCGGCCCCCAGGACGTATGCCCGGGCGGTGGCACCCCCGCCTGCTGCCTCGTCATCTCGCCCACCCACCGCCTCCGCTACCATCAATAGCGGCCGGGGCCCCTTTCTCACCATGACCAGGAAGCACGGCGTCCGTTGCCTCCTGGTCCCCACCTCGCCCCACGTGGAGACATACGTGCAGGCGTTGGCGAGGGTGGTAGGACCCACGGCTATCGTGGTGGCCTCCAAAATGTACAGGAAGATCTTCTTTTTCTTAGCATCGGAGGCTGCCGCCCAGGAGGCGGTGGACAAGGGCCTGGCGGTGGGGGGGGTGTTTGTCCACCTGGAGCCGCTAGAGGACTTGGGCGTTCGCCTAGTCCTCACCTCCGTCCCTCCCTTTCTACCCAATGCCGCCCTGTTACCCGCTCTCTCCACCCTGGGGAAACTTGTTTCTGTCATCAGCCCTCTCCCATTGGGCTGCAAGGACCCCACCCTCCGTCACATTCTCTCGTTCCGCCGGCAAGTGCAGCTTCTACCGCCGCCGCCGACGCGTGACGGAGAGGCGCTCGAGGGGTCCTTCAACTAGTCCTTCCTAGTCCCCTACCAGGGAGCCCGCTATCGGGTCTTTTACTCCACGGGAGAAGCCCGGTACTACCTCTGCCGCTCAGCGGGGCATGTCTGAAGAGACTGCCCTTCGCCCCAGCGGGGAGGGGCACCCGAGATCCCCGAGACCCGGCAAGACGTCGGCTCCGTCGTTGCCGACGCCCCTGGCTGCCCGCACCTGAAACCACCTCTCCTCCTGCTCAATCCACCGCTGCTCCCGTCCGGGCCCAAGAGACACCTCCCCTACAACGCCCAGACGAGCAAGGGAGTCCCACCCTTGCTATTAACAATCCAGCAGAGCCTATGGAGGAGGGTGCAGCAAAGATATTACCGGGTATAGGAGAGGGCCCGCCCCAAGGAGAACCCCCCGCCCCTCATGCTGCCTCACCGTTACCCCCCCCAACCCCCTGAACCATCGCCTCTGCCCCCTGACACGACCCCTGCTACCCAACCCCCAGACGATGCTATGGAGGGCTGGACCCTATTCCAGGGGAAGCGAGGCAAGCGGAAGGCTCAAGCTCCGCTGCACCCATCCGATGCGGAGGCCCCCCGGAAGACCAGGAAGGGAGGCACTGATACTTAGCCTTCCACTATGCCCACGAGTGAGATCCATCCGCCGGTGTCGGGAGGGGAAGACAGAATGGCATTGGAAGGTAGAATCTCCCCTCCACGGGAGACCCTCCCCTCCGAGACCCCTGAGGAAGCCCCTTCTACCCGGATACCACCCGAACCCCCCGCGAACCCCGAAGCAACCGTCGAGGCGGGCCCCAGAGGAGAGGCCCCCGGGGTAGCAGAAGACGACCTCTCCTCCATGTATGAGGAGATTGAGGCCCTAGGTTTGACCCCGGTCACCCAGGGAGAGGATGATCTACTGCCGGCTGGCCTCGATCTGGGCAACCTCAGCCCAGTCCCCCTTTCCCCATGCTCACTCCCCCTAACCGCCTTCCCGGGCGGGCACCCTACAGAAAGTGGTCCACCACCTGATGCCATGGCCGCCAAATCCACCACAGAGCCTGCGCCTAGCATCACCAGTGCATCTATATGAGTCATCAGTGGGTTACTGAATGCTGGATTCCTGAGTGTCAGTAATACCAAGGAGATCTCTAACTGTACCTCAGCTCTGAAAATGTGTGCACTTTCAGCTGCTATCATTAGGCACTCCTTTTTTTAACTTTAATGGGAAAATCAATCTGAGTGTTCTTTTCTTCTTGGTATCCTTTGTGTTTGTTTCAAATGTCCTCAGGGACAATCCTGAAGGAGCCAGTTTATTTATATACCTTCTGGAATTTTCACCACTTGTGATAAGTTTCAACACCATTTATCATTAGACCTTACAGCCCCTTTTTAATTTCCCTCTATTTTGGTCTTCTGGGAGCAGATTTTTCTCTGATGAAATAACTGTATATTAAAACAAAAATGAAAAAAAAAGCAGATGCGCACATTTCACTGCGTGTTTTGACAGCATTGTCAGCAAGGTGGTTTTGAATTTGTATGTTTGATATGTTATCACACAGTTACATACTGCCACCTTGAGTGCTTGTTGTAGTATATCTGTTCAAACTTTAAATTCCATGCAAATGATACTTTTAATTTTCCATTAATCAAATAGTTAATCGTTTGTTTTATTCTCCCAGACTTTGCACATTGGAAGCTCGCATTTGGCTCCACCAAAACCAGACAAACAGTTTTTGATTTCACCTCCAGCCTCTCCTCCTGTTGGTTGGAAACAAGTAGAAGATGCTACGCCAGTCATTAACTATGACCTTCTCTATGCTATCTCCAAGCTAGGGCCAGGTAAGAAGGATTCTGAGCTTAAAGTTTTAATACTTGTGTTTGAGTAAAAAATGACTTGGAATACTAGTAATAATTCAAAAAGATTTTTCCTCCAAGATATTTGTTCATTATCAATTAAATTACTAACTACAGAAAACACTCTGAAGTTTTTTTTTTATGTCAAGGATTGTTTTCGAAATCACCTTTTTGTATCAAAAAGATAAAAATTTCCATAGGAATATCCTTGCCAGAAGAAAACATTCTTGCTGAGTCATACAACATGAATTATAAGATTATAAAATTTAAAATAAAATTGTAACTCTAACATAAGTTTCCCCAGAAATAAAATGGCACTTCTAAAATATTTATATTTTAACTATATAGCTACTACTTTTTCTTAAACACGGTTGCTGTTGTTCAACCATCTGACAGTAAATTAATAACTGACATAGGTCTAGCCACTTTCATCAGAGGATTTGCAGACGTTGCACATATTAAGTCTCACACCACTGTGATGTTGTGTTGTATCCATTTGATAAAGGTTTTTTTGAAATCAGAGAGGATAAGTGACTTATCACACTGTAAGTCAGTGGCAGAGGGGAATAGAGGAAGCTCTAAGAGCCTGGCTCCCATTTATCTGCAGAGCTGGAGGCAGAATCCCTTGTTTGTTCTGTGGGAGCTTTCATCAATTTTCTGTAGAACTATTTGGGGACAACTGTGCAAGGGACACCTTACAGACTATCCAGCCTGGCTTGCTCTTTGGTTCCCTAAAATATCTGATGTCGCAAGCACCACAATTTGTATGGTGATGCAGCTGCTAAGATACTGAGGTCTTAAAAGCATGAGGATAAAACATACCAAACTGAGTGGAACAGAAGAAAAAGTGACCAGAGGAACACACACAGAAATATGAGTGCTGGTTTCTTTCTCCTACAGAAAAGGTATTTGAAAATAATAAATTGTAGGGTTGACTAATGACTAATCAATGGACATAACAAAATTATAACACAGCCTATCTAAATGCTATCCAAGTAGATGTGTAAAATCCCTTCTAGCGAATTCTGTTGTTACACAGGAATCCCAGGGCAGAATTCAGCCCTTTAGGTTTTGGTCAGCAAAACTATATCTAACTTCATTAACTTCTGCCAGTGGAAGCCTTGGAAGAAATCTGCTTCTATGGTTTTAAATCTTCATGGTATGGAGATGGACAGTTCTCCTGAATGATCAGATTTGATCATACTGTTCAAATTTTGCGGATGAGACAAACCTGGTAGAGTTGCAAACACTTTGGAGGCTAGAGCTAAAATTCAAAGGGATCTTGATAAATTGGAGAACTGGGCTATGGACAACAAAATGAAATTCAACAAAGGTAAATGTAAGGTGCTATACGTCGGGAAGAAAAAACATATGCACAAATACAGAATGGGGGATAACTGGCTTGGCAGCAGCACTGCTGAGAACATCTGGTAATTGTGGTGGATCACAACCGTAACACGAGTCGTCAATGTGATGTTGCAAAAAAAGCAAATGCAATTTTGGGTTGCAATAACCAAGGTATAGCATGCAAGTCACAGGAGGTGATAGTACCACTCTACTTGGTGCTGGTTAGTCTTCAGCTGGAGTTGTGTGTCCAGTTTTGGTCACTGCTGTATAGAAAGGATGTAGAGAAACTGGAAAGGATCCGAAGGTAAGCGACAAAGATGATCAAAGGGATGGAATGCAAGCCATATGAGCAAAGGCTGAAGGAACTGGGTATGTTTAGTTTGGAACAGCATAGATGAAGTAAGGACATGACTGCAGTGTTCAAATACTTGAAAGGCTGCCATAAAAAAGATGGAGAAAAGATGTCTCTCTTGCCACAGAGGCAGGGCCCTCTCTAGGTTTTTTGCCACCCCAAGCAAAAAATTTGCCTCCCCAAGCTCCGAGAGTGCAACTGCCCAAGCATCCCTGGAATTTTGCCTTCCCAAGCACATGCTTGCTTTGCTTCTGCCTATAGCCAGTCCTGCACAGAGGGCAGGGGGTTCAAACTGCAGCATAGAAGATTTGATTAAATGTCAGGAAATACTTCCTCACTGTAAGAACAGTAGGACAATGATACTCACACCTTCTTGTCAATTGTTAGAAATGGGCAATGTCTACCTTGATTGCATTCGCCTCATTAGCACTACAAAAGTAATTTTCCTCCTTTGATATTCACCCCTTCTTGTCAACTGTTGAAAATAGGCCACTTCCACCTTAATTGATTTAGCTTCTTTAGCACTGATCCCCCCACTTGGTAAGGCAACTCCTATCTTTTCATGTGCTGTAATATTTATACTGCTTTCTGTATTTTTCACTCCAGGCATCTGATGAAGTGGGTTTTAGCCCATGAAAGCTTATGCCCAAACAAATTTGTTAGTCTCTAAGATGCCACAAGGACTCGTTGTTGTTGTTTTTAAATTTAGACTGTTTGTTCTGTGCTTACTGTGTAGAATGGAGCTTTTTTGACCAGTTTTGCTAATGTTCTAACTTTCAGGAGAAAAGTATGAACTCCATGCTGCAACTGACACTACTCCCAGTGTTGTTGTCCACGTATGTGAGAGTGACCAGGAAAATGAAGTGGAGGAGGAAGAGGAAGGCATGAAGAAACCCAAACCAAAAATTATTCAGACAAGAAGGCCGGAGTATACTCCTACTCATTTAAGTTGAAGTGGTTCTAACTTTCAAGGGTTTCAAGTAGACGTATACAAGAAAAATGCTTACTATGGAAGTGTCAGGTCACAGGTTTGGTGGCAGTGGCTGCAGCAATAGTAGGAGAAATTCCAATGTAATTTAACTCAGAAAAACACTGGAAGTTTCCTCATTGTTTTTAATGCTGCACATTGGTTAATATGTATATGAAAATAAACTTCCAGATCAGAGTTAGGTGATCAGAAAAAGGCATTTTGAGAAACCTTCCTTGATAAGGAATCCTAGGCTGCTTCATTATAAAACAGATGGGGAAAGCTTTCTTTGTTCTATCTCACATGATACACCTCTAATTCATAGGCTAGACATATGTGAAGTACATGTGATACTGAGATGGTTTAAGGATATGGGAATTGTAAACATTTTTCTTAGGTTGTTTTGTGCATGTTGTTTACTGATGTTCAAAAATAACTTTGCATTATTTTCTATATAGTTTCTCACTTCACGCTTTTTGAAATCTGGGAAGTTGTCTTCAATGCTTATCTCTCAGCATCCTGGGTGTCTTACTGTATGTATGTTTTATTGGTACCCAGTTTCCAGTGGACATACAATTTATGTAGCACCTTATTTTGGTGCAATATAATTTGTGCTTTTAAAATTTTAATCTGTTATTAAATGCTTATGTGGGATTTTGTCTAGCAAAGTTATGGAAAAAGCTGTGCAATAGGAAAATTGTTCAAGTAAGTGTATTTTAAGTTATTTAAACTTTAAGTTATACGTTTTTAAGTAATGCTGGTTCAATTATTTTGATTTTCTCCTTTTGAAAAACAAAATTCTTAAACATGTAAATAAAGCTAGTACTGTATATTCACAGCAGTGTACAGTTTTCAGTGAGAAGTATGGCAAAGGAAGAAAACCTGAGCTGTATTACTTTTTACATTAACTTGTACATTGTAGCTGGTGCAGTTACACATTTTAACAGTGATTCAACACACATGATGTGAAATAGATGACAGATGTGTGGTATGTTTAAGTGGGATGGAGTGCCTTTTCCCCATTAATTTGTGATGGGATTGTTATACTAGTTGAACACTTGTATTTTTTCTAATGGCTATGTCCGTCCAATATGTATTCTCTTTTGGCTTTGTTTCCAAAACAGGCTGGTATTTAGAAATGCTTAGTACCAAGTAATAATGCATGCTTTATCAGTTCAGGTGATGGCTTGCTGTGGGAACAGATAAGCTTTCATTCTGTTTGGTTTGAGTACTGTTTTAAGGACAGTGACGAACGATGTACAAGTTTTCTGTCATGTTTACATAACAAACAAATACATGCTGTACCAGTTCAAGTGTTTCCAAGAATCTGCTTTTAAAATGGAGATTCTGACTTTGAAATATTTTAATACTTTTTTAAAATATACTAATATATTGACAAAATATACTGTTGGGGGAGGACATGTTTCTCTTTTAGAAGGAGAGGTATTTTGGGGGTTCAGACATGTTTTTAGAAATAAAGACCCTGATCCTCTTTTTGAAGTCAGTGGGAACTTTGCCATTAGCTTCATTAGTAGTAAGACTAGGCTTGGGATCAGCATTGTAGCTGTTGTTGCATTAAAATGAAATGCGTTATGATGTGCCATTTGTAGTTAATGTTGACTTGGAAGCCCAACATAATACACTTTTGGGTAGAAATAGACAAATATTATAAAGAATACAATACTGTATGTACCGATGAATTTGTACAATCATTCCAACTGATAATACAGTATAGACTCCACACCACTAAAAGCCTACCATTGTGCTGACCAAGACACACAATGTTATTGTGACCAAAGAGAACAGAAACCTGTTAAACCTCAGTAATCGTCTGGAGTTGTAGGGCCCTATTCTGATGAATTAGATTTACAGTAAGCATGCATGCACACAGACTGATGCTGAGTTTTGGTTCCTATCTGTGACAGAGAGAGAGAGAGATGCTCTCCCTGTGTATGTTATGTTGTTTGATACCAAGTTTGCAGGTGTAGAATGTCACCCAGCATAGCTTTAGGTCAGGCTGTGTTTTACTGCTGATTTCATACAGTATATAAATTCAGGGGCACATGAGCTACTTTTCTGTTACTGAAGTGTAAACATCAGACTGCAATGCATAACATTCTTTGTTCTTTTTATTTTTAAGTGCAGGATACAATGACCAAACTTAGAGAAACATCGAAGCACACAAATGTCTCTAGTATAGCTTTCTAAGGCTTCCCATGTAGCCAAAGACACTGCTGCTAAATTTGATGCAGATGTTTTATATTTGCCCTTCATTCAGCACAAAACCTTTGGCCTAATTTCTGTAGCATTCTCCTCCATCTCCTCTTCTGCTGCCATCATAGACCCTGAACACTAGGTGCTGTTACTGTTGCTTCTATGGGACTGCCAAGATGCATCAATTATCTTCAATAGAAAAGAGAATGTAAAACAAACAGTGACATGATTTGGAATGTTGGTACACATTGAGACATTCTGCATGATGGAGGTTGAAGGTAGTCATTCAGATTCAGAACTATGAATGATTTGGGCTGGCTGCAGTTTCTGCCACTCTCAACTGTATTTGTGAACATGGATTACTGGACGGTAACTGCCCATCTTGCTGTCCGCCCCCAGTTTGTGTATCTTGGCCTATGTCTGTTCTCTTAGCACCAATGTGGTGTATGGATCACTCTGTTTCTGTATGAAAATAACAGCTGTTCTGTTAAGACAAACTGGTATTTTATAAGATTGTATAGTATGGGACATATTTAAATTAAAATATTTGGATTGTCTACTTATAAATGTCGTGTTGTTTATGCATGAAACAATAGTTAAAGATTTTGGTGTAAAAATGCTTAAACTTCAAGCATCCAAAAATATACTTATGTTAGGATAAGGACTTTGTCCCCGCTTACTTGGTAGGCTCACATCCTTGCCAACCAAATTTAATATTAATTATGGGGGGGTGGGAGAATCCAGTTTGATAGTCTTTTACAACATTGTTTAATCTCTTTAAAAATATTTTTCATAGTGTCAGTAGTTTCATATACGTAGCCAGCAAGCCTAGTCATTACAAAACATTACCAGGCATGCAAAATACATTAAAGGGCCACCTCTTAACCCAGGGTAAGAATTCTTTTATTCTAAAATAAGTGTGGAGAAAGGAGTTTTTGATGTCAATGTTAGTCTTTTACATTTCCTTCTGCATAGAAACTCTGTGATGTATCAGTATCTTACAATTGGCATTATTTACATTTATTGTGTGTAGCAACATTCTGCCTCTAATACAGACAAGCAATTCTCCAATTGAATTCAATGGAAGCCACTTACACATCAGAGGGAATAATTTGGCTCTTGATAAGACAGTACAACTAAGACTACAGGATTAATTGGACCAGTGTGCTTTAAGCACACCTCCTTAAATTCGTTCACTTTTTAGAAACAAATACATGGAAGTTGCTGTGTCTGGCTAGTTCCACTCTGTTTTGCTTATTGACTTTTTTTTTAATAAGAGTCTCACCCACTCTCATGAAACTCCAGAAAAATGAAAATGATATTCTGCCATTCAAGAAATCACATGCATATAAGAATGGTTACCAATGTGTGTTCATTCTTATGAAATTGGTACAGATGGGCTGTGTACAGTGCCATAAGTGTTAACAGAATATGGCCCTTACTCATAGTCAAGACAAGTCCAAAAATGCATAGGGCAAAAATTATTTTTAAGCAGGCTATTATTTCTAGCCATCAAGAATTACTTAACTATTTTGGGTTCTAATTCTTCAGGCTGGCATTGTCAAAGAAGCCTGAAGAAGTAAGGTGCCTAACTACCAATGAATTTCTCATGTCCTTTAAAAAATCCCAGCTACTGTACTTGCCTGCATAGTTAAACTATATTCTGCATTGTGCTAGAAGGAATGTCGTAGCAAAACAAGTTCTGTTAAAGTTGAAGCTCTCTACCTATAATTTGTTTGTATTCCAGTTGCACCTAGGAGCCCCAAATAATCAAAATAATAAAGTAATAGGTAGAATCCTACTTTATTCATGCAGAACTGAGTATCTAAATATTCGGTTTTGGGGCTTATGTTTCATCTTCCCATTTTTACTATAATCTTATATTAGCTCCAGTGCTCCAAAATTGTTGATAATCATTTTTAAATGATCACATAAATTATATTTAGTATAATTCATGTAATTGTTTGTAAAAATGCGAGTCACTGACCCATATTAACACTGAAAATAAAATACAGAATGTTGTATATCATGCGAATGGGTAGCGGAGCCAGAAGGATGTTTTGCATCATCCAGTCTAATCACCTGTATTTTGCGGGATGTTTTACTTAAAAACCCAGTCCTGCAATCTCTATACTCATAAAACTCCCCTTGCTTGAACAATGACTACAGCATTGGGGCCTACGTCATTTACTTGTCCCCTCTAATCGGTATCTAAGTATCTAAAATAATGGAGCCCTACCACCTCTGTTGGTCTAACTACCCGGCTGTTAATGTCCCCATGCTTATCTCCATTGGTTGGTAGTGGGGGGACCAGGAAGCAGCTATTTTCCATAGAATGCTTTCCCTGCGGCTCTCTGGAGATGCTCCAGCAGACCGAGGCTCCATGAAGTTTAGGAGACACTCCCCTTGTCACTTTTTAAGGCCTGAAGCACCTCTCTTCCCCCACAAAAGACATGATAGCTCGATATCCATGGCTTCAAAACCATATTTTGATGATCTAGCACTTCCTCTTTTGAGTTTGTATATAGGCAGAATAGCATGGAGGAGCAGTAGACATTTTTTATATCTATATATATTTATAAACTCTTCAGTCCTTCATCCCATTGCTTTTTTGTGCTAACAAATTCTGACCCCGTGAATAATTATATTCTTTAACTTTTCCGGTTACTTTGAAGATATTTGTCACTTGCCCTTCTGTCTACTTTTCTAACCTATAAAAATATAGGTCCCTAATTTGTTCCTTATGTTTTATCCTTCAGTCTTTCTGCCATATAGTTGGCTGTTCCTTGTATTTTCTTTTTCTCCCAAAATGGTGGCACCCTCTGCATGCAGTCTACCACGTCCGGTTGCAACAGGGCTATTACTACTTTTGGTATTACACTAAGTTCTCCCTGCAAACACACACACATGCCGCCGTCTTCTTTTTTCATTTTGCAACAGCAATGTACGATTTGTCCATTTGCCGCCTGTCGCCTCTGGATTTCTGTCAAACGGGTGACTTTTCCAGATGTACAGCCTTTTGATCCTTTCTTCTCACTAGCTGCGTAACTTTACACTTCTTAGGAATGAACATGATCTTGTTGAACACAATCCACACTCTTCTTGTTTGTCCAAAATTCAAGGGATAGTAATCTACAACTTCGGACCTTGATAATCATACACCTTCCTATATCATATATTAATGTATTAAATGGTATGGGTCGCATGCCTGGAGCTTTAACTGTCAATGAGCACTCTTTATAACGGCTAATTTTCAGACACATGCTAATATAGTGGTATCAAACTTATTCAGTGGTTCTATACTGAATGTCTTGTTGCAAATTTAACATGCTCCATCCAGCCTTCCCTTTAACTTTATTTTTTAGTTGGAAGGATGTTTCAGAGGTAAGGCACTAGCACTGGACTTTATATCTGGGTTCAAGTTCCTACTCTGCCAGAGACTTTTGCATGATCTTGGTCAAGTCATAGTCTCTTGGTGGTAGTTCCTTGCCTCCATAGGGGTATTTTGAGGATAATACATGAAAGAATGCATCCGATGAAGTGAGCTGTAGCTCACAAAAGCTTATGCTCAAATAAATTGGTTAGTCTCTAAGGTGCCACAAGTCCTCCTTTTCTTTTTGCAGATACAGACTAACACGGCTGTTACTCTGAAACCTGAAAAAATGAGGCGCTCAGATACAATGGAAATGGGGCAACATATGTACCTTACAAATTAGCAGTCACTAAGGCCACTAGATTTTTCACATGCTTTTTCTAATAAACCTCTTTTTTATATAGTCTTAAACATCTCTTCCAATTTCCCCCCCTGTAATAATACACATGAATATTCTGCTTGGAACAGATGTTATGTTCATTGGCAGAAATTTCCTGCCAAAGTCTCCCTAAGTCTGAGCTGCTCTAACTTCTCATCTTAACTTGGGTAGACCAAACACTTTCAATCCTGCCCTTCACAGGAGGAGTCTGTCCCACTCGGACCAATTCGTTTTCTACCTTTGCCCATTTCAGACTTACAGGTAGGCGTTCTGCTTTCAAAACGTGGTGGTTGTGAAATAGAGGCTGTGTTCAACCTGCATGGCTGGGATGTTTCCCGTGGTGACAGGGCTCACTTACCCTTTCTACCACCAGGGCAGTTGCTCTTCACCACTCTGCAAGCAGGGGCTGGCGACAGCAGGTATGTTGGTTAATATGGGCCACAGTATAGACCTACATAGCTGCAGCAGAAGCCATCATTACAATTTTATCCCAGTCCATGTGCAGTTCCTCAGTTGGGCCTTTAAAGGTCAACACTTGGGGAGTAAACCCGTAATATCTTACGCATCCTAGTGCTTCCTCTCATGTTTGCCTCATTCACCTGTTGATCAGCAGGTGTCTTAAGTTGTGCAACCTGAGCTCTTCCCTCTTATTGAATCCCTGCTACTAGGAAGAAGAGAGAAGCTGCTTCAGCACATGAGGGCGGGCTGAGAGTTACCATAGCACTTGGTCTACAGTCATTGGGTGAGGTACCATGGGCTTTCTTCCTGAGACAGGGCTCTCCATTTCCCGGCTATCACCCATTGTTCCATTCCCCTCCTGCTTCTTTAAGCCTTCTGGCTCCCAACAGCTCCCAAAGATGCTAAATAGTTTGGGAAAACCAGGTCATCTTCCTAGTTGCTGATCTATCTTTATTTATTTATTTTTGGTCCTGTGATACAGCACTGGACACATTCACCCTGTCATCCCTGCTTCCCATCAGACAATTGACAATAAGACATTTCCTTGAGACGACAGGCCGGGAAGCTGAACTTTCAGTCCGAGGAAAAGCCTTTCTTAAGGTAAATGAATGTACAGGAAGCCCAAAGCACAGGCATTAGTTTTATTTGTAATTCCTTGGTAGCCCCCCTCCTCTGTTCCCTTTTCTTTTTTCAGTCTGAGTTCTTGGAAATACCACAGCAGGCAGGGAATCTCTAAATAGGAGTGCTTTAGACCAGGCACCCTGGCTGTGGTATTCAGCACCCCTCCACTGGTAATTAAATATTCAGATTCTTCATTATTTCCAGGGCTCTGTTTCATAGCACATCAGACAAGCTTCAGTTTAAGGTGCAGTCAGTGAATGGGGTTCACTGAAACATTGTGGAACTTCTGAATATATATTCTGGAACATTTTCTAGTCTAGGTATAGATCTATCTCGCCACAGTATCTGAGATGCCTTCGTTCACTTCTCTCTGACCGATGGAAATCAAACTTCCACCCTATTAGCCAAGTGTCTGGAGTTTTTTCTGTGGTTGGTTCAAGCTCTTGACAATGCTGCGAAGGAAGGACCTCTACTCTAGGAGTAATTCAGGAAGAGCCCAAGGAGTACCTGATCTGGAGTCACTCAATGTAATGTTTTTTTTATGGACTGTAGAAAATATAGCTATTACACTCAGGTATATATACCTGTGCTGGAACCTCCATTTAGTTCTATGTATGCTATGTCCTCTGCGCTTTTGAACCTCTTCACTCTGTGCCCTTGTTTTGATGGGCAAATAGTTGCCATTTAGTGGCCATCACTAAAGCTTGGGGATGGGGGAGGGTCCAATCCTCAAATCACCTCTTCTGACTCTAGTGATATTTTTCTTAAGATTATTTTGAGAAGTTCCAAGATTTCCTCTGCTAGTTCTCTTAAAACTCTTGGGTTCATCTTTCAAGCCTGACTGAAGTTTAAATAGATTTTAATTTTTGCCTAATACTTTTCACTATCCATCTATTACATTTAATAATTTTCCTCACAAGACTCTCAGATCTCCTTAATGTTGTTGATTTTTAATTCAGAAAACTGATCAGAATAGCTATTTTTGGCGATCTTGCCTTTCCAGTATTTTCTAGTGGTTGTGACCTCTGGATTCACAAAAATAGCTAATGAAACCTTGAACTTCCACTGAAGTAAGATTTGGTGTTGGAAAATCTAATGAAAAACAGGGACCCAGCTTGATAGACAACCTGACCATTTCTAGATGTATTTTTATCCATGCTCTTTGATTGAAAAAGATTTAAAAAAAAAAAAACTGTTCCCATGAAAATAAGTGTAGCTTAGGCTTTTTATACTCTGTTTTGTGCAGTAGTGTATAAACTGCAATTTACAGAATTATTTCAGATTTTCACTTTAATCCATATCAGGTTAGATTTTTGAACTGTCAAAATCTTTGAAAAGTTAGAGGTATCCAAACTTGGAACATAGATTTCAAGCCAACCATCACTGTAATAATCTGTTTCATGTGGGCCAAAATAAAATGGGGGGGGGGGGAACTAGAGGTTTTACAAAGAGTTCTTACTGGCTGTGCAGGTCAATCTCTCTATCTGATATGTCAGACAAAAGCTCCCAACCCATTTTGGAAAGCAAAATTTAAATGGTTCTGCTGCCAACCCAAAGCAGTCTAAAGAGAAACTGAAAATATTTTCTTTTTCATGCTTCATTTTAAAGATCTACAAAATCTAATGGCTTTTATTATTGAATGCTTTCTAGCTTTTTCCTAGTTTATTTACAATGAAAACTGTCCCAAAAACATGCTGTTTGGGCCAAAAATGTTTTAAAAGTACACCCTGATTTTGCATGTTGCTCTAAGCATACCTCTACATCTGCCTGTGTAGAAAAGTTCCAGGATCAGGCCTCAAGTATAAATAAAATAATTTAGTCCCGCTGCCTATAGTTATAAAGTAATAGTATATGTAGGTGCCCAGTAGGTGGAGCTAAGTATCCAGCAATATCAAACTGCTTACCATTTAGCCAAAATAAAGGCCCAAACCTGCAAGCTGCTGATCACCTTTCAACTCACAATAGAAAGACCGCTGTAGAAGAGAGAGATGTGGCCATCACAGAGCCTCTCTTCCTTTTGAATATGGCTGATTAAAATATAAACTGTATAATGGGCTTTTAGTTAATACCATGTAATGATATTCCCTTTTTAGTGATGAAAATTCTAAACTTATAATGTACAAATTGCAATTGCCATCTTAGGCCCCAGCCCTGGGAGCACTTAAGCACTCTGTGACTTCACATGTGAAACCATTCTCCCCTGAGTAGTCCCATTGAACGGATGAGGGCCTAAAGTAAGGACTTCCACTCATAAGTGGAACCAGGGTGCAGGAAACTCAGTGGGAGTTAGGTCAGGGAACAGAATTCACATCTTCAATCTATGGACAAGCCACAGGGCTGCAACACAGTCCCTTGGCTACATCTACTCACAGACTAGAGTTTTTGCACAACTGTGCTATTTCTGCAGTCTCTAACATACGGCGCTTAAGTGGTACAGGGCAGAACATCTTGTGTAAGTCCTCAACACTTGGGTGAAATTCACCTGTAGTGTGAGGTGGTTCTTGTGGGGGTTAATGGGTGACAAAAGCAGTACATGAAGGTTATATGGTACATGTGAAAAGCAAGGTATACCAAGACTTGCATGCATTATAAGCTGATATACAGTAGTAACTAATGCTTCTACTTTTTAAAAAGTCTTTGTATTGCAAATTTTCAGACTACTATTATTCTAAACCCCAGATCTGAGGGCTATTTCAGAGCACATATAACCCAAAAACTAAGCTACATATAAAAAAGGGGGAATTATATGTTAGAAGAGAAAAACTTAAAACAAGCATGCTGTTTGTGGTGCAGTAACATTAGCAATCTAGCCCTGAGCATGAACTTCAGTATGGTTTCTAATAGTTGTGTTGCCTCTGACCAGTTGTATTGTGCATATATATACAAAAGTCATGAAAATCTATATGCGATAGAGACTTTTTGTTCAAAAATATCATAGTTTAGATATTCCAATTCTGGAATTATCACAACTGTTTACAAAAACAGGAGTCTGGATGTTGGATTTTTAATCTGCTTTTTAAAACCTTTCAGCTGTCTAAAATGATTTTTTTAGTATGGTTAATTCACTTGTAAATGAATGTGTAGAAAACTGATAATGAGAAAAAATACATATATTTATTTTGCAAATTAAGATATAATCCTGTCCTACATGAACACTTTTTAGATTATTAGAAATGTCTGATATTAATTCATGCCCTTTTAAATAATAACTTAATGTTGCAAGATTAGAAGCAGTATGGAATGTAAATATATTAAAAAGTTAGGCCCTGGTTCAGCCAAAAGGATTTCATAACGGGAGTGAACAATGGAAGCAACTTCAAAAAATGCAGCATTTAATGTCTAGATACCATTGTGGATTTTGCAGCAGTATCCAACGTTGAAGTCAATGGAAGTTTTTCAGTGGGTGCTGGCTTGGGCCTGTAATGGGGATATTTAAGCAATTTATTTATTTTATTTAAGGTATTGACGCCACTGGGGCTATTCACAGAGAAAAGTACTACTCGGCATGAGTAAGAGAGCAATCTAGCCCTGAGACTGAACTTATTCTCGATTTGTTAAGAGGCACATTTGATAAATAAACCTATCTTATCCTTATGTAGGGCTTGATCCCGGAAGGTGCGGAGCACTTTGGCCTGAACCAGCAAAGTACTTAAGCACTTGCTTAACTTTGAAGTCAGTGGGGAAATATTAATGTGTTTAGCTGTATCAGGTCAGAGCGTTCGATACCTTATAGGATTGAGCCCATACTGAGCTATGATGTCATAATATTCCTGAAAAACAAAATGAATAAATTGCATCTGGAATTATTGGGCAGTTAGCAGACAAATAGTGTATAACAAGTCCATTATGGACAATGGCTTTGTGTGCCTATTTATGTTCTCTAAGAATTTACATATCCTTCAATGTATTAGATCTTCTCCATTACCTACATGTAATTTATTTGTCATGCTAGGATGCACTTGAAAAAGTTGTTCCTAATCATTGATATTGCAGAAATGAACAGCCAGTGAATGGTTGCCTTTAAACTAAAAGCTTTATGAAAATATTCTTCAGCCAAGTACCTTTTAAAAAAACAACAAAAGAAAAACTGAGAACCCATGTCAATTAGCACCTACTGTATGTATAGTTTCAGGGCAAGACCATATATAAAAGGAATAAAATGTTTTGTTGCAAAATGGAATTGTAATGCATTCCTTGTCATTTTGATATTGAGAAGGTCAGCGCTATTTTAAAAATGTTACAATGTAAAATATTCCGGTTGAAAGAATATTGGCTATTTTGTGCTGAAGAATGATTAGGGAGAAAAAACTATTTTTGTAAATAGAAATTTTGCTGTGGGAAAACTGGTGCCTCTCTTGCCTGTAATTGTTTTATCCATTCAGCATAAAGTGGCTGGTTTTGAAACATGGTGATTGCCCTGGTTATTTTAACATCCAGTTCTCAAGCGGTTATGTTGTTTTCAGATACATTACAGAAAGAAGAATTGTTTGAAACGTACCTTGTTTCCTTTGCCATTCATGGCACTTTATTTATTGAGCCACTCAGTTTCACAGGCAAGTTTATACAAACTGAGCTGCATCGCTGTGTACAATACTTCTCAAAATATTACCAAACCAATGTTGGCAAAGAGTCCTTCCTGTGGCACCTTATAGACGAACAGACATATTGGAGCATAAGCTTTTGTGGGTGAATGCATGCATCCGATGAAGTGGGTATTCACCCACAAAAGCTTATGGTCCAAGACGTCTGTTCGTCTATAAGGTTCCACAGGACTCTTTGCCGCTTTTACAGATCCAGACTAACACGGCTACCCCTCTGATACTTCAAACCAATGTTGAGTTTTTGAAGAGGGTGCAGGCGGAGCATGGGGAGCAGTAGGCAGACTGAGCAGAGTATGCCAGGAGCGTGTGGTGTGGCAGAAAGACAATGTGATAAGAGACAAGGGAAAGAGGGAGGCAAAGGAATTGAGGTGACAAATGGGAAACAGGCGACTGTGGGGAAGTGTGGAGGGAGATGTTGAGTATATAGCAGCCATCATTCCAGCCCAGCAGGAAACCAGCAAGAGGCACCAAAGTTGGTACAGGGTCTGGGTACAGGCTAAATCCAGGCCACAGCAAGGACTTTCAAACCTGCAGCAGTGCAGCTAGTTGGAGAACTGAGGAGTAGAATGGAGGAGAGGAGCCACCAATGTACTAATTAGTTTAGTTACAAGGAATATATGCAATTAAGACTGATATACCCATACAGACACATTCTATATTCCAGTGATTAACTATCCGAAAAACCCAATCAAATTGAACAAAGACAGAACCTCAAAGACATGACTGGACGGTGGAATGCATATTTAAGTGCAACACATTTACTATATAACAAGTCAGTTGACTTGCCCCTCTGTATGCCACAGAAGAAGGTAATTATGTTGTTCTTTGAGTGATTGCACGTGCCCATTCCACTGTAGGTGAGTGTGCACCTAATCCACAGTTGTTTGAGATTTTTCTTTCCTTCAGTAGTACCTGTCGGGGTGGCTTGAGAGCTCTCTACTGCCGCATGGTTCTGTGTTTACGTATAAAATGTGGAGCCAGCCCTGACCCTCCTCCCCTCACCCCCAACAATTCCTTCTTACCACCAATGCCAGTTGCAGTTGGAGTGATTTCAGTCTTACTACTGCAAGTTCTTCCCTCATATCTTTGTAAAGAACCTGTTTTTCTTAGATTTAGTAGTCAGTTAGCTAGTTATACTATAGACAGTTAACGATATATTTCAGTTTAAATTAGGTCCTTATTCTCACCAAATTTGAATTTCGGTACTAGGACCAGTACCGAAGCTCACTCTCCAAGGTTTAAGACCTGTTGGTCATGTAGTAGACCAATGCTGGTAAGCAGCTCACACCACACCTGCTTGAAATTCTTGGGAAAATCCCGTGTAAGTGACAAGTGTCACATTTGCAATGGGTTTAAACCCCACTCCAAAAAGGACAGAGCAGCCAGACATAAACGTCTTCTGATAGAGGCAGCCACGTTCGGAGCGGGCTCCAGGTACCATGGCTTCTGTCCAGAGTGCACTGCCTGAGTTGGCAGCACGTTCCCTGTCACCAGTGCCAAAAAGGTGGCACAAGGCTTCAAAAGACTGTGTCCTGTTCAGCAAGTTCATCGAGTTGTCTAAGAAGAAGAAACCTCTGCCACGTCCATCGAGGCCGGCACCTGAAGTGCCTGTGGAAGAGTCTCAAAAATATGAGTGAATACTGGTACCAACAACTCCGGAGATATTTGCAGCCTCTAAGGAGCTACTTAACCTCTTGGTACTGATGTCCCCTGCGGTGCAGGAAGGTTTCCAGCCAATACTCATACCTAAGGCTCCTACTTCTGTTCTTCTGGAGGATGCAGTACCGATGCCATCTACACTTTCCCTACCTCAGAAGATGGTATGGTTGAGAGAGAAGCTGCTGATGGTCTGGCTGGTTCCACCATCTCTGGACTCTGGCTGTCTTTCTGTGGTACTGACAGGGTCTGTTGCCCTGTTATCAGAGCAGTTGGAGTCGTCATTTTTCTCAGTGTCAGAGACTGGGTCATATGTGTCTCAAACTAGATAGGACATATATCCTCCATCAGCCTCTCGTGGGCCAGGGAACTCACAGCAGACTCAGCAATGGTCACCTGTTAAGGGCCAATGGTCCACACAAGAATGGGTTCCAAGACCGTCAATGGCCTTCTTGGGCCCTGTAGTGTTTCCTTCCTCCTACCAGGGCATTCCCTCACCCACCTCAGTTGGTCTCCTTGAGATCTCACCATGAGCATCAGCACCACAACTAATATCTGCTGATAGTCAGAACTGGACCAGTACCAAACAAGCAGAAGCCACTCTAGCAGTTCTGCCATCACAGGAGTTAGATAGAGCTCTGATTCAGCATCCTGCTCCATCCTCTTCCTCATCAGATCAGGCTGTAGGAGCAGTGAGTGACACTCCCCCATGGTACCATCTGTTCCTACCCCAATGTTTGCCAATCATCTATCCTACTTCCTATGTGCTTGGACTCTCATCACATCAGATCAGTGGGTCTTAAGCACTGTGGAAGTGGAATACTCCCTCAGTTTGTTCCTATCCCCACTTTCCCGCCCCAACAGGCTGTCCTTCAGGTGGAGGCCATAGAGGAAGTTCCTCTGTTTCGCAGGGGGAGGGTTTTACTTCCACTACTTCCTCATGCCTAAAGCAAGAGGCGGTCTCAAGCCTATTTTAGATTCAAGAGAGTTAAACAAATACCAGAAGGAAATAAAATTTGGCAGGGTTCCACTGGTTTCTGTTGTTCCTTCCCAAGAACAAGGGGGCTGATGTGCTGCCCTGTATTTGAAAGACGCTTACTTTCACTTGATGATCCACCACAATCACTGAAGTTTCTCAGGTTCATGGTAAGGAGGACTCATTACCAATTCACAGTACTTCCATTAGGGTTGCCACCAGTCCAGTTTTCACCTGGACAGGCCAGGGTTTGGCTTGTATGGCTGGGTGCCATTTGACAAGCCTAATGTCCGTTTCTTTTTTCTGCAGGGTGGGGGGGGGAGTCTTGGGGGAACAGGTGGAGCAGGGTGCAGCGCCTCTCGGCACAGGTGCCAGCTTCATCGGGCCCCAGGGGTGCTCAATGCCCTGCTCCACTCCAGGTCCCGCCCCCACCCAACCCCTTCTCCCAAGTCCTTGCCCCATCTCTTCCCACCCCTGCCCTGCCTCTTCCCACCCGGTTCTGCCTGCTGCTGCTCCTCCTCCTCCTAGTGCCTCCTACACACCACGGAACAGCTGATTGCAGTGAGCGGGAGGCACTGGGAGGAAGGGAGAGGAGTTGATTGGTGGGGCCACCGGCAGATGGGAGGCACTGAGGCTGCCGGTGGTTGCTAAGCTAGGGATTTGGCACTATGCCTCCCTGGAGGTCCTGGGGCACATGGCAGCACATACCCATGTGGTGCAACACACCAGACTATGCCTCAGAAAACTTCAAGGATGGCTAGCGTCAGTGTATACCTGGAGTCCTCATCTGTCAGGATAGGACAGTTCATGTACTAACATTAGTTTTGTCCTCTCTGGACTGGTAGACAGACCCTCTGAGAGTTTGTATAGGGATTCCCTTCATTCTCTCACAACTAACGTTCACGTTAATCACAGATGTGTCATCCCTGGATTGTGTGGGAATACATGGGGACCTTGCAGACTCAAGGTCTGTGGTCTTCTCAAGATCTGAAGATTCTCATAAACATCAGGGAATTGTGAGCTGTCAGTCTAGCTCATTCAGTCTTCCGGCCACATATCGTGGGAGAGAATCTGCTGATGCTGACAGACAATGCACAACTACGTTTTGTGTAAACAGGCAGAGAGGAGTTCTGCATAGCCAATTCATTTAATCTCAGAGCTGCTTACCTTCCAGGGGTGCGAAATACTTGGGCAGATCAGATGAGCAGATCCTTCTCTGGTCAATACAAGTGGTCACTATGTCTGGACATTGCCAGAACCATTTTCCACCTGTGGGAGTCTCCCCAAGTGGACCTATATGCAACAAGGACCTACAGAAAGTTCCTGCCACCCTAGAAGTGCTCTCTACTCTATGCCTTGCCTCCAATTCCATTACTTTCCAAAGTCTTGTCCAAGGCCAAGCAAGACCACACTTGCATCGTATTTATAGCACCAGTGTGGCTTCTGCCACCCTGGTACTGGATCCTCCTAATTTTGTCAGTCAGGCCTCCACTGTCTCTCCTGTTTGATCCAGGAATGATTTCCCAGGGCCAAGGTGCCTGCTTCATCCCAGCCTGCAAGCCTTCCACTTGACAACATGGATGCTCATGGTTACAACCACTGGAAAGGGATTCTTCTAAAGACATACAGAGGGTACCTTTCAAAGCAGAAAACCTTCCACCAGAGGGACTTATCTGCCTAAATGGAAGTGTGTTTCCCATCCATCATCTGTACCTAACACATCAAGGCATTTAGCGCTATCAAGGTCCATTTAGCAGATATCTCAGTTTTCCATCCGCCAGTGGATAGTAGATCTTTTCCCCACCCCATAGCTGTCAGGTTTCTGAAGGGACAAATGCAAGAGTCTCTTTCCCAGTGGGTTCTGAACTTGGCACTAGCAAATTTAATGGGGCCACCCTTTGAACTACTTACAACTTGTCATTTCTATTAAAGTGGTGTTTTTAATTGCAGTTATCTTGGCAAGGAGAGTGGGTGAGTTGAGAGCACTGGTATCAAAGCCTCCCTGAACAGTTTTCTGTAAGGACAAGGTTTGCCTTCTCCTTCACCATATGTTCCTGGCAAAAGTAGTCTCCAAATTTCATATTAAGTAGGCAAACCATCTTCCAACTTTTCTTCCACAGACTCATACTCGTGGAGAAGAAGAAGTTAGAAGAGCTTTAGCCTTTTACCTG